ACACAGGAGGCACAATGGGGAACCGAACTCCCAACCTCCTAAACCAGCCATAGACAAGTGTTAAAACTAAACCACTACTGTTGTTGTTACAAATTGCCTCTGACTCTTGGAGAGACTATGAATAATTGATCTGCAAAATGTCCTGTCCCCAACAGCCCTGCTCATCTCCTTTATACTCAAGCTGCTGCCTTCCTTTATGGAGTTGATCAACCTTATAGTTGGTCATCTTCTGTTCCTGCTGCCTTTAACTTTTCCTAGCATTGTTATCTTTTCCAGAGAATCTTGCCTTCTCATGATGTGCCCAAATAGGACAGACTCAGCTTTGTCATTTTTGCTCTAAGACCTTCCTGTTCATCCTTCTGGCAGTCCAGAGTAAAGCTTTCCTCCAACAATACTACAATTACTAGTTATATTATTATTATTTATGTAAGTATATTACAAATATTATTTTCATTAACTCTAAGCAATATCAAATTAATGTAGGATTCATCCATAGAATGGGGATGGGATGATTTAGAACAACTTTCTCCCTTGTGTACTGTCCATCTGTTCCAGAAAGTCCCCCACTTCTTATGAGGGAGAAAATAATGTATTAAGTATGTTTTTTTATATATAGAACACATGAAGTTCAATAATGTTTTTCAAAATTTAAAATGGATTTGTGGTGGGGTTTTTTTAATGCTGCTTTCCTCCTTTCTGGACCACAAGTTTCACCAGAACACACACACATACAAGCACACATAGCTTTTCTAGAAGAAACTGTCTTGCGTTCTTGAGAAAAGACAATATTCCCCCCCCCGCCCCCGTCCCCCCCCCCGCCCCTGGCAGCTCAAGAGCATGACAGTTCTGAAAACCCAAAGGCAGACACACACAAAAGAATTATAGGTACCACATCAGACTATCATATCAGATGACTTTGTGGCTGTGAGGTTAATGCAAACGACCACTGGCATTTAAAAGAAACACTAAGGGGATGTCAGACCCATTCTGCATGAGCGAGGGTATGCAGACATGTATGCTCACAATCTCAATCTTGCATGACAGTTCTGAAAACCCAAAGGCAGACACACACAAAAGAATTATAGGTACCACATCAGACTATCATATCAGATGACTTTGTGGCTGTGAGGTTAATGCAAACGACCACTGGCATTTAAAAGAAACACTAAGGGGATGTCAGACCCATTCTGCATGAGCGAGGGTATGCAGACATGTATGCTCACAATCTCAATCTTGACTTCCAGCATTCAGGTGCTTGAAATGTTCAGGTACTTGTAAGCCAATATTCTTTTTTGAAAATTTTAGATGTGCTTAGAAAAAAGCCCCCCCCCAAAAAAGGGGGGATTACAAGTGCCCCATGTTAATATACTCAGAATGGTGAACCAATTCACTTCTGAGTCTCTTAAACAAAACAGCTGTGTGAAACATTGGTGGGAAATTTATCTAATGCAAATCCTAAGACCACTCACCAGTATATAATTAAGATGATTTATGGTCAGGGCACATCAGGTGTGGAGCCTGATTAATTAGCTCAATAATCTATTCTACTCCATACATGGGCTTATAATATGTAATTACCTCTCTGCCAAGGTCAACATATTAAAAGCAATGCAGTCATTAAGGTGGAGCTTGTGTGTGATGGAAGGAAAAAGAAGCACAGCTTAGAAGTCATTGTCACAGCAGATAAATACATTGAAATATAACATTACTGGAGTTTTTATAACCTTGTATGCTGACTGGAGAGGGTGTGGCTGGGAAGGATCTTTCTGGACTCGGGTAACTATCAATGTATCCAGCACTACCCAATCTTTCCTTCCCTGCCTCTTTGCTCTGTTCCTCTTTGCCTCTCAGAATCAGGACAGGGATTTAACAAGGTGTGGTACTAGAAAATCAAGATAATCAGGTCATCCACCAAGGTGACCAAAGCAGTTTCTATCCCATAACCAGCCTGAAACAAGATTGAAATGGATCTAAATTATCCATCTCATTCAGGAAACTCTAGAGAAGCCACCACCTGCTTCAATACACTGCCAGTAGTTCTAGGGCTTGTCAGCCTTGGAAGGCAGCCATCTAGGAGAAAGAAAACTCCGATTTCAAACCTCCACTACCTTGTGGCTATATCCACTGATGGAAAAGGCTTTAGGAGTTAACCTCGAGGCAAAATCCAGAGCCGGAGTCCCGGAGGCAGTTCGTGTCGTTCTGGCAACTCCTGCGACGTTGCTGGAACCAGTTGTATTGGCTCTTGCTTTTCCATTGGACTATTTCAGTGACGTGGAGAGGGGGGATTTGCTGCTTGGGTAACAGCCTATCCTCCATATTATTTTACCCAGGCTTCGTGCTCTGGAGAGGACCCTCTCCAAGTCCTCTATCCAGAGCACGTTACCATAGTCTCTCGAGACTTAAGGATGCCATTCTCTTCTCAGTTCTAGGTAGCACGGTAAGTGATTAAGGATGATGGAAGCTATCATCTAACAACATCTAAAAGCTTCAGGTTTCCCACCCCTGAGGACAGTTTTCTCTCCCTCCCAGAATACTCCCTAGCCATTCAAATTGACATAATTTTAGCTAGTACATTAATCTATTCTGCAAATTGCTATGTCTTCCATTATGAAAACTAATAAATTAAGTAGCACTTCAAAAGCAATTAGCCAAAGATATTAAGAGGGAATCTTGTGCAGCACCACTAACAAAATCAATGTTAATAAGAACATATTTATGAAAATGTTTTTATCCATTAAAAATTATCCATGGGTGTTTGCATACTACCTAGCTTTGGAAACACAGAATGAAACAACTAAAAATATATCTTTCTTTATTCAGCTTGTTAACAAATGCAGGAGTATATCTGTATACTCTTTTCCTTCATGACTGACTTATTGACTCTAGGACAGTGGTTCTTAACCTTTGTTACTCGGATGTTTTTGAACTGCAACTCACAGAAACCCCAGCCAGCACAGTTGGTGGTGAAGGCTTCTGGGAGTTGCAGTCCAAAACTCCTGAGTAACCCAAAGTTAAGAACCAGTGCTCTAGGAGACAATAAACAGAACAATTTATATTTTGTTGCTTCTAAATTTATTTTTAGTATTGCTTTTACCTAACATTTTAAATTTAATGTTATTAATTCTTCTTTACATTTGAATAATTCACTATTTTCAGCATTCATTGTGCTTTTAATTATGTAAGCTGCCTTGGGTCTGTTTTTTAGGAGAAAGGTAAAGATATTACAAATAAAATAAAATAAAAATTATATATTTCATTCAGTGCTTTTGAATGTTATAGCTTCCGAGAAAGAGTAGTTATGCACTACATGTTGATTAATACCATTGCTAACAACACAAGCTGGCTATTTCTGTGCGAATGTCAGGAAATTCTTCTAGTATTTAACATCTCCTGGAAGAATCAGCCAAGAAAGGAATATATTAACTTTGAATGATAGCCTGATGTGGACTAAGGGTATAAAAATTCTTAATAGGTTATGAATTGAGGAAGTGTATCTTCATTTGCTAGACAGTACAAATACCTTTTGTAATCCAAGTGTTTTATATAACTTTAAAAAGATACTGTTACGTTCAGTGGCAAAATCATGATGGTAAAGCAAATTGATTACCAGGTTTTGGGTACCTTTTCTCTTTGACCTTCATGGACATCCCATGGAAAGTCATTCAGAAAGGTTGCAGGACTCAGTGTTGCTTAACTCCTGAAGGCCTCAGGAGCTAGTATTTGATCCAGTGGCACTTGGGGGAGTAAATGTCAGTTATGGAGAGTTTTTCAGCAAGGGATATACTGGAGGGGGGATGATTAACATTTCCCTATTCCATACCTGATCTTGATTTCGACACCTCACATCAAGTATTTTAAAGTGGCAGAGGAATTGGGGGGGGGACCCAGTTCAAATCAGCAATTAATCCTTTCCAGTTCTTGTCCTCCCCGTGACCATTATCATCTGCTACCAATTCCCCCATTCTTGGTAGAAAATGAAGCATAACACTTCTGAGGGATTTCAAAAATGGAATACTTTTCAATATTGCTACCCAGGATTAATTCTGATATCTAGAGTTCATCATGGAAAATATTGTAACAAATTAACTATGGCTCACTTGCAACAAAAGCATTGATTCATATATGTAAACACAGTGACCTCAAAATTAATAACACAACATACCCCTAGACAAGGAACAATATGAGACACAAATCTGAAAAGAAATTGCTTCAAAGAACATTTCTATCTGTGTTTATTGCCCTTTTTGAATGTGTTACTGGCTAAACCTCATATAAGCAAATCCAAATAAGCCTTTTACGACAATGGAAGAGGTACCATAGTTGTTATTAATTTTTAAGCCCTCCTGACGAGTTTCAGTCCAAGATGTTTGATGAGTTGAATAATGCAGATCAAGGAAAGTCTTAAAGGCCAATGACTTTCTATAACCTTCTTAATTCTGATAGGTTCTAAAGCAGAAAACACTGGGCAAATTCCATCTTTGGAACAACATTACAATGCTATAGTTGGATTGCAGTTTTGAGGTGGAATAGGGACATACTCAAGAACATTATTTCCCAAGGATCAAGTTGGCTGTAAAATGATTAGCCCTATTATGGTCACTATAAGTTTGTTCTGACTTGATGGCATATAACAACTGTTTAGTTGAGTATGTCAGAACATTCTGATAAAAAAAGAACCAGTTCAATTGTAAGGAAATGGGATATTAAGAACAATGTTTGTTCTGGAAATGTTTTGTTCACTAGCTATTGTTCATCATATGATTCATGTGCATCAGAAATTACTGATTAATATGGGAAGGGAAATGGAGATGATGGTATGTGGTGGAATGTCAGGATTTAATTGGACTGCAGGAGACCAGAGCTGCAAATAAGATTGTTTACTGTTGTTGCTGCAGCTGCTGTTGTTATTCAAATCCACTGTGTCCAAAGGAAGGATGATTTTGGAAATATGCCACCCCACTGTTCCAGATAGTTGATTCTAATGTAATACTAAATCTCACCCCAGGATTGTGGCTCCAAAGATGGTGTGTATCAGTACTTACAGCTGTCCTCTTCCTCCATGAAAATGCTGATCACGTAACAGGCATAAACAAAACCAATCAACTGTGGGAAAATAAGAAAGGGAAAGAAATTAGTTGCAATGCATGGTAAACACACAGATATAAGTGTCAAGGGGACACTTTGGAATGATTCACTTTCATCTTCTACAATTACAACCCTCTTTTTTTAAAAAAAAGCAATGCTAGCACACAACAGAACTCAAATGTGCAACTTGTGTAGGACCACAGCAAATTTCAAGAAAAAAATTAGTTTTAATAAGTAAATGTTTTGTATGCAATCCAAGTTGTGTCTACTAAATTTCCACCAAAATGAAACATCAGACCATTTCTGCTAAAGCCTCTTTTACTGCAGTACGGTGCAGGCACTACAGTTCTTCTGTGGTTTGCATTTATCAGTTTTGACTTGATTTTTATTTGAAGCTGAGGTAAAACTCAAATTTCCAAACGAGTTCTGAACTCTCCTGGTTGCAGTGAAACCTGTGTAACATGGTGTGCTTAACTCAGTTTCAAAGCATACCGTAAATACTGTAACCTAGATATCTCAGTTTTAAAGAATCCACTGGCCAAAATTGTCTTAAACTGATGCCTATTCATGCTGATGACATAATTAGCTGCAGGCTTTTATTAGTTATTTAAAGTTTCCTGTTTCACCCCTTCAGGTTCCAAGGCTATCTCAGGATCTCTTTTGACCTCAGGAAGTCTTTGGGAAACTCACACCATGTATGTGTGTGTGTCATTAAATGCCCTCAAATTGCTGCTATTAATACCACTACTGAGATCTGGACTGTTAGCAGCAATTTTCAATCTTATCTCTATGGCTCCCAAAGCCATCCCAAGGTTCTTCCAAAACTGAATGTAAGTATCTTTACACGTTGCTGTGTGAGTCTAAGAGAATAAAGATTTCTGGGGGGAAACCCTGTGATTTGAATCCAGGGTTCAAGTGATACATTCTGGACCACCAGAAAACAACTGTGTGCCATTTTTCACATGACAAGGTTTAGAAATCATGACAACGTTTAGAAATCACCTTACAGTATGTAAAGTTGAGTCATAGCAACCATGTTGCTCAGCTTAACAGGAAGGGTATGTTCTGATTACCGCAGAGAGTTATAAGTAGCAGCTGTGAGTTCAGGGAGGGCCTTTTGATTACTGACTCCTAACAGAGCACCGCTGAGGAATAAAGCTGAGGCAGACCCTAGGAGCTCTTGACTAGAGCCAAAGAACAAGGAGAGCCAACAGAAGTTTCATGGAGGAGTTTTTGGGGATGGCCCTTAACAAAATTTGGGGGAGTTTGGAAATAGTTATATATTATTGGACTTTTCCATGTATGTTCAAAGTAACAAATAAAGGGAAATGACATTCATAAACAAATAGATCAAAGCAAAAAGCTAACAGGGATTATGGAGGGAAGAGATCTTTCATTTGTTGTGACCTGCAAAGTTTGTGCAATGTTTGTCTCTGTGCCTGAGTGTAACATGGCATACACATGCAGTACGTGCAAACTGGTAACATTCTTAGAAAAAGTGAGAGAAATGGAGTAGTGAGTAGCCACACTTAAGTCTATGAGGGAAGATATAATATCCATTGACAGAACTCTTGAGTAGCAGCAGCAGTCAATGGATGTGTATGATTTGGTTTAGATTGTACCTGACTAGCCCAGTAGTTTTTCCTACTTTCTTCAATTTCAGCTTGAATTTTGCTATGAGAAGCTGATGATCAGAGCCACAATCAGCTCCAGGTCTTGTTTTTGCTGACTGTATAGAGCTTCTCTATCTTTGGCTGCAGAGAATATAATCAATCTGATTTCGGTATTGCCCATCTGGTGATGTCCACATGTAGAGTCGCCTCTTGTGTTGTTGGAAAAGAGAGTTTGTGATGACCAGCTTGTTCTCTTGACAAAACTCTATTAGCCTTTGCCCTGCTTTGTTTTGAACTCCAAGGCCAAACTTACCTGTTGTTCCTTTTATCTCTTGACACCCTACTTTAGCATTCCAGTCCCCTGTCACGACAAGAACATCGTTCTTTGGTGTCTGTTCTAGAAGGTATTGTAAGTCTTCATAAAATTGCTGGATTTTTTAAAAGTTAATTTTAATAAACTTAGGACAATGGTAAGTACATAAGGTCCCATGGCAGAAGATCCTAACAAGAAAATGAGTCCAAAAAAGATGGGAGTGTCTACAAAAGGAAATTGTAAAGGCAGAACTACAAACAATTCCAACAAGAACAATAGGTGGGAAACACCAAAAAAGGCCAGTGTGGCTTCGCAAAAATCTTAGATGGGACCGGAAAACAAAAAGGACACATATAGGAAGTGGAAAGGAGGCCAGTCCGCAAAGGAAGAGTACAGATGAGTAACAAGGAATTGGAGGGATGACACTAGGAGGGCAAAGGCTGATATTAGCTAAAAGCAAAAAAAGAGCATTTTTCAGGTATGTGTCTAACAAAAGATAAAGAAAATAAACCACTATAAAGTGGCTCAGCTACTCAAGAGATGGAAAAAATGATAACAGATGACAAAGAAAAGGCAGAAGTGCGAAATTCCTATTTTAACTCAGTCTTTTCCCAAAGGACAGACTATGACTCTCCAGACAAATGTGAAGTGCAAGTAAAGGGGCCAGGTCAAAGGACAGACTATGACTCTCCAGACAAATATGAAGTGCAAGTAAAGGGGCCAGGGCTGCAGTTGGAGATTGACAAACAAATAGTCAAGCAATACCTTACTACCTTGAAGATCTCCAGGGCTAGGTGAACTGCCTCCAAGAGTACTGAAGGACTTGGCTGAACAACTCTCAGAGCCACCGTCCATTTTTTTTCCTTGAAATCATGGGAAATGGGTGAGGTGCCAGATGATTGGAGGAAGGCTAATGTTGTCCCTATTAGAGATGGGATTAACAAATACAAATATTCCTGGCCAAGGTGTCCCCATTCCCCAGAGCCGCAGGCCCACCTACCACAACTGACCCGTCACTTACGGGTTGCAGCACAGCATGCAGGGCTGTCGTCCCACTTGGTGCACCAATCTGCATTGAAGCCTGGTTGCTGTTCTGCTCACTCCAATGCACAACAGTCTTTCTGTGCAAGTTGGCTGAGCTGGTCTCAGTGTGGTGTCGCGATCACCTTGTCATTCCGTCCCCCCCCCCCCGGCTGGAGTGGCCAGAAGAGCAAGAAGGTGGAGCAATGGCAACCAGGCTTCGTCGTATATTGGCGCACCAAGCAGGACGCCAGCCCTAAGTGCTACCTGTGAGTAGATGAGCCAAAGATATTTATATTTGTTAGCTAATACAAACATCCCATCTCTAGTCCCTATCTAATGAGGAACTTGGGAACTATAGACCAGTCAGCCTGATATCAATCCCAAAGGAAATTCTGGAACAGATCATGAAGTGGTCACTATACAAGCACCTAGAAAACAATGTAATAGCTAGAAGCCAACACAGATTTGTCAAGAACAAATCCTGCCGGACTAACCTGATCTCATTTTTTGATTGAGTAACCTCCCTTAGAGACAGAGGGGACGCTGTAGACACAGCATATCTGGACTTCAGCAAGGCTTTTGACAAAATGCCCCATGAATGATCTTCTGATTAGCAAGCTAACTAGGTGTGGCCTGGACAGAATAGTTTTCAGGTGGATATACAGTTTGCTACAGAATTGTACTCAGAGGGTGATGATTAATGGCTCCTTCTCAAACTGGGAGGAGGTAACAAGTGGGATATCCCTAACTTCTCCACACAAGCTCCACATATATATACAGTACAGCCCCTCCTCCTGATGTCCCGCCTTCCACTCCCCATAGGATGGAACTTTCCCTCCAAACCCATGACAGACAGGTAACATCAGTGCTGTATGTAACAGTGAGCACTCCAACGCTGGAGGCATTTAGACAAGAGAAATTTAGACAACTACCTGGCAGATATCCTTTGATATGTATTCCTGCACTGAACAGGGGTTTGGACTTAATGGCCTTTCAGGCCCCTTCCAACTTCATTATTCTACGATTCTATGATGAGCAATATCCTTCTTAAACTAAAATGCCCAGAACTAGATACACTAAAACAGAATAAAGTGCTACTGCTACTTTTCTTGATTTCTGCAATTTACATTCTTGATTTGCTTTTTTTTGCTATCGCATCACAATGTTGACTTAGTTTTTGTTCTGCTAAACTGTCTGTATTCTTTTCACATGCACCACAGCTAAGCTAGATATCAGCCATCCTATATTTGTGCCTCTGATATTTCCTGTCTAAATGCAGAACTTTACACTTTACAATCGAACAAATTCATTTTGTTCGACTAAGCCCCATTCTAGAACTTTTGATTCATTTTCATTTTTGTAGCTCTTGGTGATATCTTGCACAGGAGGGGAGATGTTAGCAAAATGTTCAGTGCTGTAATTACTTCTTATATTATTTTCACGTCATGAGATGCCGATACATTTTGTGCTCCTGGCCCTGAGAATCAAAATTGCTAGTTATGGTTCTGTAGCCCAGTATGATCCATGTTATGTCTCTAATTGTGCATGACAGAGACCTAATGAAATTATACTGTCCCAGTCATCCATTCTAGTTGAAAAGCAATAGAAACAAGTGGGAATATCTAGAACATTTTCCTGATAAACAATTTGTTCTGAATGGCTACCCATATTTAGATAAAGAATGGCATACGAGTAATTAGTAGTACACGGGTAACTAAAATTGAGCAACATGTGCATATGGAACTTTTCCTCCTCTCAAGAGCAAATGTTAAACCTTGAAAATGCAGTTATACACATACACACTAGTAACCATAGCCTGGTTACTATTAAGAAGAAAATCACTACAGTAATGCATTTCCTTTTGCTTTATTGATGACCATGGTAATGAAATATTTATTCCAACAAATTACTTTGAGTATCTTGATTAACCCAATTGCTATTTCATTAATTAGGCTCCACTCACCAAAGTCCATCTGACCACAAGGTCAATCACCATTTTTCACTGGGGTTGACTGGTGTACACTGCTTGGTTTCTTAACATTTTAATGAAAATAGCTCTAGCTGGCAAT